TTGTTAAGCTGTTAATTTGATGCACCGTCGTCGTTGTCGTCGGTAGCGAGCATTTTTCACAGCGGTTTTATCACGCAAACTGTACGCCGCTCTACGAAAATTTTCTGCGCGTTTAAAAACGGATAATATCCATAATAATGGCGCTGACACACGAGAGAGAAAGTGGGACGGCGAGAGGCCGAGAGAGAGAGAGAGAGAGTGAGAGAGAGATTTACGTTCGCAATAACAATAGAAATCATCATCCATTCATGTCAATTTTGATGAATCGGATTAATAATCCGCTTGATTGACGGCTTTTCATTATCCGTCGTCGTAATTACTGCTATACAGGGCGTCTTCGTCAAACTGCGTTCGCTCTTCGCGATGCCGATAAGATTTTGAAATTACTTGAATATTACCGGAGAGGAAAGGAGAAGAGGGGAGAAGAGAGGAAGGGGGACTTTCCCTGTACACGTTTCCGCCATTAGATTTCGTCAGGATCGGCTGGCGGATCCAAGACGGACGCTCAAGTGCTCATTACTGATCCGATCAGTATGACGAGACGTAATGTCGCTATCAATCGTATTGCAACTGTGTTCGTTATACGCACGCGTGTATATCCCACGGAACTACCAATACTTTGCCGCAATTACTGTAATTGCCTTATATCGAAACTGTCGCTGCGCGTTGAATCGATCGAATCGGCAAGCCATTCCAATTAAGCCACCGACCGACAACGATTGGATACCAAGTTCTCATCGCCGCCGTGTATGCGCGTGTACACGCGTATGCGTGCGCGTCAGTGTGCACGTATACTGAGATAATTTATTATATTTATTTAAGAACAAAAACAAGAATCTCTCTCTCGAGTTCTATAGCGACTCGGTCCGTGAGAATAAATTCGGAATAAATTCCCGGCCGTCGTGGCTACGTTACTCAGGTGAAACTACCCGCCTCGCTGTCGGGGAATATTGAAGAAATAAAATTTTCATATTATAAAGACCCGTTTATAAAGCGAGAGGCGATAAATAATTTAACGCGCGCGTCTTAAACTCGTCTTCTTTTCGCGGCCCCGCAAATGGAGCGACGACGAGTCGCTTTTTCGGTTCAGTTCGCTCCGAGGAAAAATGATAGTTGTGCCGTTCGTCGTACCTCGCATTCTCGCGGGTCAGCCGACCCTACTAGAATCCAAATGCGCGATAATTCGCGGGAAATGCGGATAATATCCGACGATACTACTCGTCGTTCCTCCCGTCTAGGCGGATATCTGTTTTTGTCAGCTACAGGCTGGGCCCGCCCGTAAGAAGTGGAAGTTTCGCCAGCACGCTCGATGCCGCGAGGGAACGTGCAGGAGCGGACATCTGCGCCCGCGGAAATTAGACACTAGACCGGCCTTGCGCCAAAATCACTCCGATCCCGGATAATTTTTCCGACGGCAGCCGCTCAGGGGGGGGGGGACGGATTTCGCATTTTGCGCTTCCAACGTCTCCGCCGTCTCTCGCTTTCCCAGCGGTGACTACCGGAAATTGCATTAGACGCCGCGAAAAGCCGCCGTCCGCTCCTGGCGAAACTTCTATTTCATTCTGCAGTCAATGGCAGCCGCGCCGCGCGTACGTGGTTTCCCTTTTTGTCAAGTATCGCATTAAGCCCTGCCTAATGTCACTCGAAGAAAGAGCGCGCACGATGAAAAGCCGGGGTAAGGGGCGGGGAAGAGCGGGAAGGGGAAAGGGTGACGAAGGAAGGTGGGGAGAGGTAAAAAACGAGCGGGCCCGATAGATCGATCCGGCGGAAATTTCTCAGGGGAACAACACCCCCGTGTGTGCGCGTGAGCGCTGTGTGCCGCAGGCCGTTCAGGCCGCTATCCTACATCCATCACGCGGAATTTGCACATTCGTGCTGGACAACTAGATTTACTGGCGAAATATTCATCCGGCGGCGGCGGCGGAGAGGGCACAGAGGACGCAATCATGAAGGAATCTACAAGATTTATTAATGCGTGTGCGTAAACTGAAAATTATTTACGGGGGAAAAAAATCAGTAACGACGCGCGAATCCGATATGCGATTCGCGGGAATATTTATATACGTACCATTCGCGCGACCGGGATACGGTGTGTATCAGTTTCGCATTAATATTAATTTTTTCAGCCGCGCGCGAAAATGCGGAAGCCCGATGAGAGAGAGAGAGAGGGCTGCAGTATCACAATGAATCGCCGCGGTAGATCAATTCCCGTGTAAAAGCGCACACTTACGCGCGATTAACGCGCAAAAATGGCCGCGTCGCGCGATAATTAACAATATAGATAAAGTATTAAAATACCACTGACGCGATACATATGTGTATACACACACACACACACACACACACACACACACACGTATATATATGTGTGTGTGTGTGTGTGTGTGTGTGTGTGTGTATACACATAAGTATTTATAATGATACGCGTATATATTTCACACATCGAATTGCAATGTAAATAATTAATCGTCACTATTTATTAACGTGATAATACGAGGTGAACACATAAATTCCTAATGTATTATTAATCTTTTACGCGATGGAAATTTGTGCTTTTAGCACGGCGATCGATGCGCGACGCGCGTTTTGCAAATCTCGCGAAAATTAACAATTTAATTCGGCGACAAATCCGCTCGCGGGTGAAAATTGATATCGACCGAGATGCGGAGAATCGATTTCCATGCGAATCGTATGCGGGATTCGATAAGGATCTTCTCCCTCTTCCACGACTCGTCAAAACAGCGAAAGGAAGAGAAAAAGAGACGAAGAAAGAAGGAGAGAGAGATAGAGAGAGAGAGAAAGAATCACCTTTATACGGCTCATCGGTCCGTCAATCTTCGTGGTTTTTCCAGTCTGTGCAGTCTCGTGCTCGCATATGCTCGCGACTCACGTTACTGCGCTTCTTGAACACGGCGGGGGAATAAATTGACTGAAATTGACACCCACACCTACGATGCGTCAACGCGAATTGACGACGACCGAATTGGATAATCGGTGGAAACGCCACGATCGCGGCGATTTGCCCCGCGTGCATCGGCATGCCCTTGTCGCCGTCCCCGTGCCGCGGTCGCCCTCGCTCCCATCCCTGATTCCTCGCCATGCGCTCTTTTTTTGTCGGATATTTCTTGATCTTTCATCACTCTTTACTCGATATTATTACTGCGACGTATCGCGAGGCTAATGAACCATTTTATTCCTTTTATAATCATATTTTTACATTTATATATATATAATTTATTTTATTCTTTTGACGGTGACTCGAAAATAAATTGTTCATGCACAGAGAGAGAGGTTTCTTTGAATTTAATATGTGTCCGTTTGACTTGAGTTTATTTAATATAAACAATTATATATATAAATAATTTAATATCAAATATCATTTTGTTTGAACGGAAATGTTATTTCACTACAGTAAGCCGTGTTGTTTGATAGAAAAAAAAATTATATTATACTATATTATATTATTCAAAGGAAATATTTGATTTGCAATTAAAAAAATGTATTTTTTGTATATATTAAATATTGTTTTATTGAAATAAGGAAGTTCTTTAATATTTTTTAACGTAATATTACTTCTTTTAAATAATTTCTTACTTGTAACAACCATTTTTATGTTTGGATGAAAGTACAAAAGAAACATGTTATTTGACGTAAAGATATTTATTGTTTGGGAAACCAAATAATCCTGTTTGTGGAATCAAACATTCGTTTGCTCCGTTCCGTAAGACAAATCTGTTTTGATTGAAGAAATCTTATTAAATCCAGAAAAATCTTTTTCTCTGTGTAAGGTTTGTATTTCTCGCGGGATTATTTATTGTACAAACGACAACGTTAACAAAAAAGCGAGACTCGTGACGTCGTTAAGTAATAATCGGTTGGAGAACAAAGAGCTTATGTATTGAGAAACCCATTTAGTCGAATTAACTAAATTCTTGTTTGGATATGAGCGAACAAACTTTTTGATTATAAGAACTAAGCTTTAGTTCTCTGAACCAAAAGTTTGGTTATTTGAAACCTCTGAAAAGAACCTTCGGAGAACCAAACTCTGGTTCTTATAACTAAAAAATTTGTTTGCCCATATTCGAACAAGAATTTAGTTGATTCAATTAAATGGGTTTCTCAGTATGTTGCGCGAGAATGCGTTCTTTTTCTTATTTTAAAGAGCTACAGTATCTCTGAAGCCGGCATTATGTACGATGACGTATATTACGTGTTTCATTTTATCGAACTTTGATATTTCCTAATACATTACATCGAACACGATATACCGTTCGCTGTGTATCGTGCTTTAGAATACCAGCCAGTAATATTCGTTAGAAATCCTTCACGAGCGCACCGTTATCTGGATAGGATGATGTATGAGGTAATTAATGGTTATTCCGCGCCTAATTGCCCGAGCGATTATGACTTTTCCGCGTGCACATCGTTGTTGCTGCGCTGCCGTGGCGAAGTTTTAAATAGCATCGTCTCAAATAAATCGCAGGAAGCGCGGTCGTTCATATCAAAGCGACTTTATCGTCATTATTAACATAAAATGCTTAGAAGAGCGGTACGCAGTATACTGAAATATACAAATACAATGTACGCAATATGGAGGCGCTTTTTAAATAAGTAAAATAACGCCGAAAGGACCGCTTCCGTTAGCGGTATAATTAGATACAACGAAAAGCCGTAGTCCGCTTAAGCCCGCTTGCACCAATCGTTACTTTGGCTTTAAGCGGAACCTAAAACTCGAAATTTGTCGTATCGAAGCAAAAGCGACAACCAAAGTGCTTTAATTTGCACTGATCTTAATAAGAGAAGCGCAAATCAAAGCACTTCTAGGTGTCGTTTTTGCCTTGACTGACGACAAATTTGAAGTTTTAAATTCCGATCGGTCTTAGTCATTATTCGTCACTGTGCCTTTGCACTAAACGCGTTCAAGAAAAAAGAGGAAGAAGAAGCCTCGCATTGATCATGAGATGCGTATCGTACAATAAAGATAATCATTCTTGTTACAGGTGGGCGACGCGATTCTTCTGAGGATAACTTCGATGACTACATCGATGATGGGTGGCCGTATTTCAGAGGTACGTAATATTGCGAATATAATCAGCACGAATAACCGAGCTACATTAAAGCTTTAACTCCTCACAGGGGTTTGTTTTTTTAGTTACGTTCCACGTTATATTTTCCGCGCTTAAAGTGACATTAATGTAATACGTATTGGGAATTATCGGAAGAAAAAGATGAGAGACAATATTGCGAGAAAATACGAAAAGTAATCGTATAATACTCGGCTTTAAAAAAACAAACAAACCTTATACCGTCATATGAACCCGTTAGTAGACTAATATTCATCAACACGCACGCACGTACGCGCGCGCACACATCTGTGCGCCACGGTCTTTGCTGCATGTTTAACGCCAAGTACGACCGTTCGAATATCAATTTGAGCCGTCCGACATAAAGACTGCACTAAAGCGGTGCGCTTTTACCGGCGTTTAGCCGAAAATACGGGTGTCGAAATTAGACGATCGCGTGAAATCAAGCGCTTAAACAGAGAGGACGCGGAATACAAACCCTTTATTTTCATTAGCGTTTCGGCATCCCCGCGCTCTAACGCGAGTCCACAAACGCGGAATACGAGTGTGCGAATATTGTCTCTGACAGGTGGATCATAGAGGCGTGCACAAACATCGCGTGTACGCATCACGCGGCCGGAAATTCACGCACGTCCACGATTGCATCGCGCGCGCCCGCGCGTCAGCTTCGTATTCCGCTTACATGCGGTTTGTCTGAACGTAACTTCCGTTAGTCTGCGCCTATGGGGACATTTGGTATTGTTTATGGTGTAACAATTATCGTGTCCAGTTATTCGCCTCCTGTGCCAGCCTTGGTCAACGGAGTCCGTATTTGACCTGCTAATCAATGATCGTTCGGTGTCGCCGAGAAGTCGATTGTTTGCGTCCCGCTTGTTTCCCCCGAATCGCTTCAATTGGCGATCGGCGTGCGCGATTTCCCGCCGGATTTTATCACGCCGGAGTGCGCTCAAGTATCTTCTCACGACGCACACAGTTAACAGCCCGAGCCGTGCTCTGGTCTGTCGTTTAAAATTCGTGCGACGTTTGGAGATGGAATTAATTTCCGAAATTAACTCCTCACCTCCGCGCGAAATTCCGTGCAATATTTAATCGTGCGTAAAACTCACGTGTGTGTGTGTGTGTGTACCGTTCGCAAACGCGGCGTGACTTCCCGAGGGGAGAAGGACCTCGCACGTTTCAGTCGGGAGAATAAATTAGCCGGGCAGAGAGTTGGAAAAAATGATACGCGTTGTTAGCGCTGCCATCCAGTCGTTTTAGTCACCTTCTGTGATTTTTTTCATTAAAAATTCACTATCGTCCAAAATGGACTATTGTAGTCGCTTTCTTCCGGAGCTGCCATAAAATTTGCGAAATACAGATGTTCTGTATATATTTTTGCCGTCTCTCTTAATAAAATCGTTCCGAGAGCACTTTTATCGTTCGCCCTTGACCTTTTCTTGTTATAAATTTTCAAACCGTATTATAAAAAGAACTCGTTCCGTATGCACCGAGGAAAGCACTTCAAAATTTACTCGTGGGATATAATTTCACAAAATAATTAATATTTCGTAAAAATCAATTTTATTTCACAGAAATAAATCTTATTTCAGTGGAATAAATTTTATATCTCATAAGTAAATTTAAGTAATTTTTTCTCGGTGTAAAAGTAAGCATTACTTTTTTGCTTAAATGGTTACTTTTAGAATATGACGAAAAATATCACTTTTAGTCACCGCTCTGATATCTGAAAGATCAATTTTTGTCACTTTTTTATCGCACTGAAAAAAAAATATTGAAATTTTGCGAAATAAATGTTTCTTGTGACATTTTATTTGATATTTATTGGTTAGAAAAAAATTGACTGTGACGATGGAATATATATTTTTATGAAATATACCAAGGTTTTCTTATTAATTGGTTTATTTACTAGAAGTGAGATTTTATTTCGCCGTGTTTAAGTAAACGTTTATTTCTGTGAAATAAACTTTATATTTCGCAAAAACATCTTCAAATCTTTTTCTTCTCAGTGCAAGAAACAGTAGTCACTATTGCATTTTTTGTTCTCGATGACTGAATGGCAGCGCTGCGTTATTCTTGTTTTACGAGTGTACATACAACGCGTAACGTTGTGTCTAAAGCACAAATGTGGTGCTACCTTCTTTTCTGATGGGTAACAATCGAGTTTGGCCGGTGCATAGAACCGGCCATCGGTGTGCACTGTGTGCGTATTTCGCCGGTTATCGCGGTACGGCTTTACGCAAGCCAACTTCCGCTCTTCTGCGCTCTAGGACGATCAGCGATCTCCTGCAAACCAGTTCGGCCGCGAGATACACCGATCAGATGTACCACCTGCATGCATATACAGGATATTCCAGAATCGGACGTTCTTTTGCGCAGTTGAGCGGTCCTTGATCCGACTCGTACTAGGAAAAAAGTGATTGAATCGACATATAATCGCCGATCACTCAAAAAAATATTGCGTTCACTGAACAAATTACGCGCTGACGCAACAACACGTTGCGTTGATTGTATTTGTTGACCGAGCCGCAATTGTTGAATCAATTCATCACTCACATTGATTGCGGCAACTGTATAATTTGTTCAGTGGACTAAACGTTGTGCTTGAAAAAATGTTATTCCTTTAAGCAAGATTTCGTTGATTCTTCTATCACTTTTTTTTTCTTCTCAGCGTAGAGATCATTCAGTCGCGTCTCCTCGGCGAGAATTTTTCGCGCCAGGTGATCATCGATCGTCACCTTTCCGCTTGTTAACATCGCATTAGCTACGTAACTAAGCCCAAATCTCCATCGAGGTAGAATCTGCTTAAAGTTTACCAAGTAGGATACGATATTGTTATTGATTTTCTCCCTAATCTCACGAAGCGTGACTGAGCGGAAGCACCTCGTTTTTGATCGTCAATTATTCGAAAGCTACGAACGACGCTTCCAGCGACCTTTTGTTGATTCTGCGCGGCAAAAAGCGTATCCGGCGGTTTTGGGACGATCTGTAATGTAATACGGTCTTCTGTATGTGATGTCTCGCGGGATAATGACTCGCGTATCCGTGTATAGGCGCGTGCGTGCCACCCGTCATTCTCGTTTCGTAACAATTCGAGTTGGATCTATCTTGAAACGATATCGCGCCCGTAGGCCATACCTTCACTCTGACAATGTATCGCTATTTGCCCAGATCACGATGATCGCATAAGAGAATCCGCATGTGAAACCGGATCCTCGCATTAACGTAATACGAGTACGCTTTATCGAAACTTTCGCTGGATATTTACTGCTGAATTCTGCGTACAAACAGCCATTCAAATTAAAATCCCGAATATCCCCGAGAAACTCGTACAAAATTTACATACATTCTTTCAAGAGAGAGAGAGAGAGAAAGAGAGAGAGAGAGAGATAACGAAAGAAGCGAAGTAATCGTTAGTAAAAATAAAAGGCGCGATAAGTAATTTAAAAATGAAGCTCGATATTTAAATACGCTCCAACAGATAAGAGTATATAACTTAAAAAATCAAATATAAAACTCTGGAAACATTTAAAAGTCTGAAAAGGGAAAAGCTAAATATTAAAGTCTCGCCTCTCGTCTCGATTCTGGCAGAATATCCAAGTATAGAACAAACCTAGGAAAGAAATATGAATATCCGCAATTATGCACGGGAAAAAGAATAACTTGAAGGTGGACGCGCGTTATAAGAGTAGAAGATTCCGTGCATGAAATTTGTTTGTCTTCGGACAGGTTTTTCTTCCAATTGAACTCGAACTACCAGATGTGTGTGTGTGTGTGTGGTCTGGTAAATAAAGCAACGCAGAAAAGCCGTCTACGCTGGATGTATATTTTCGACTCTTTTTGCCGACTAATATTTAACAAAATTTTCGTTAAATATTTTCATGCGTCTCGCGTGCGCGCGCGACGCTCGTTTTATAAATATTTATAGAGTGCAAACAATATGCATCAGAACGTCGAATATGCATCCGAATAAGCAAGAATTTTACATGGGAATCGGCTGAATGGTAGCGCGACCTGAAAAATTCGCGCAATCCCTCGAAATTGTTGCAACTTCGACGCAATTTTCTTAATGCACATATAAATGCTACACGCTTATCGCGCTCTCGCTCGTTCGCGCGAGTTGTATACGGCCGCGCAGGCTTACATAGTTACGTCCGTCGCGCCGTTAATCGATATAATTATAGAATTACACCAATGAGAAAAGAAAAGTTGGCGGCAGTGGCATTCTAATGGTAGCAATTACCGGAATATATCGTTCTAATTAGCCGGGCCGCGATTACCAACGCGTCGCGAGAAGTACGGATTTCCCCCTCGCGATGAATCGCGATCTCCATTCGCGGCGTAAAACCCGGCAAATCCCGATTTTGTAAAACGGAAATGTGATATTTGATAATGCTGGCGTATCACAATTTCGAAAAGTCGAAGCGCTCGAATTATCTATCTCGCTGGTGATTAATCAATTTGAAAACGAGCGAATATGAATTTCTAAAAACGAGACGACTGTTTCTATATCTGGTAGGTCAGAAGACCATGTCAACTCGATTTAAACGGTAATGAATCTTATTAAACTGGATGTACGGGAACAAAAAAATGAATTTATTTACGCGGAAAAAAAGGAATTAGCTTATCTATATGATGCAATTGAAATTTAATTACCAGACCTAGTTTTTAGTTCTGCACTGGGAAATACATTCGGTTGACTTAAACAAAATTTTTTTTGGTTGTGAGATAAATGTTTTGGTTGTAAGAAAGAAAGTTGGTTCTCTGAACCCAAGGTTTGGTTTTCTGAAACGAAAATGAAAAAGGTTCAAAGAAGCAAATTTTGGCTCTCATAACTAAAACATTTGTTTGCTTATATCCAAACAAAAATTTTGTTTGAGCCAGTTAAGTGGGTTCTCAATGTGTGCTAAAAACTAGGCGTACGGGAGCAAAAAATAATTAAATTAATTAAATTTCATTCATATGGATAGCTAACTAATTGGACTAAT